AAAAAAAAAAACGACTAACAATCTCGGTACTGTTAGTGGCGTGAAGCATCAGAATCACCCGAAGAAGCACAAGCACCCAAGACTGTCCAGGTGACACTCACCAAGCCAACCCCCGACAGCCCCAGACCGAAATTCAAAATGTTGACACCCGTGCCTGCCCTTCGGCATGTGTGCAGCGAATCACGATCTGTGGCTTTAGAGGGCTTTCAGCCTGCTTTCGTAACCAAGTGTGGCAGAGACGGCAAAGAGGAGGCCGCGAGAGAAGGTGACGTCTATGTTCATCCTTACCTTGACACTATCGTCTTGATTATTCCGGATTGGATTCGCCAGTTTAACCAATGGTCTCGTTTTGGCAAGAACCCTGCAGGGGTAACAAAGACAACAGCAACAGCAACAACAGCGACAAAGAGTTTCTGGGGTGACTCTACGCACTACTTCAGTCTGTTCGAGCTCTACCCAGATGTGGAGGCAGATGGAAAGAGGGGAATTATTGTGTGGCCTAAATCCATTCCTCGGTTTGGCACCCAGGAAGGAGACTGTAAGTTCATTGGATTTCTTCCTCCTTTGCCCTCTCATCTGCATGAAAGTCTCTCTAGTCTCTACAACTTTCACCATTCTTGCTCAACAGAGAGAGCACATTGTCACCTCACCTTGACTTCCCGATCGAACTTGCCGACGACTAACTTCTTTCTCATTCAAGTGGAGCCATTCTGCCTACCGCTCACAGGTGGAGCGCTGAAGGTGCCGTGCCTCTTCCCGGACTCTTGGGATGGCTTCTGGGATGACCTCTGCGATCACATCGAGGAAGAGCAGAGGCTCGACTTGGACCTGCCCAAGCCAGGCCGCTACGACTTTCTCTTCGCGAGGGCGTGATGAGAAACTGGGAGCCCGAATCGGTCGCTCGTCCGTGGTAGGCAGATAGATACTGATCTGATATGATATGGTGGAAATGGGTGGAGCGTGTTGATGCATGCATGCACATGGGTCCTTCATCAGCGTGCTCATAATTATGAGATGAGAGCGTCGTTTTTCATATCCCTCGTGGTCGATCACGCAGGAGGTATCATTTTTTTCAGGGAGTGAGGGCTTTTTTTTTTAGCAAACAGATAATACTATTAGGCGTGGAAAAGTTTCGATATATCCGGGCTGGAGGATGGATGATACACACCTATTGGGATATGGGATAGGGGGGGTCGGGGAATATGGGAATTGGGTTGATAATCAAAAATAACTCACGCCTTCAGTCCTTCGCGATTGGTACATGAAGGTAAGAGCGGTTAGTTTGTTGGTCGGAAAAGATTACAACCGAAAGCATTGTACATAGGCGAGACGAAGAGCGCACTTGCCGTTGCATAACTTCTATACCAAGCCAGATCTTTATTCTTGACACAAAGAATCGTCCTCGAGGTGCCTGATTAGAGAGGGCTGGTCACTTGCCATTGGGTTTGGTAGGATTTGAATGGTAGAATAGCACGAAAGACGGCGGCCATTAAGCGTCGAGCCGTGGAAAAATGAGAACGGTGAATGATGGCAAGTTGGGAGGTCCGATATGAGCCGACGTCTTGTTGTGTAGCTAGACTGTGAAGCTGCCTTGACTTACGGTTGGCCAGCGAGATGACTAGGCGCAGATTAGCTCTGCAAAAGGGACGTCGTATGATATGTTGTTTTAGACAAGGAAACGGATGGAGGTATACAAAAGGGAGGCAGCTTTAGCGAAATGTCGATGCTAAATCCAGCTTTCTTTCTTTCTCGGCCTGCAGGTTCCTACATTCTATTGCGGCGTCAGTACAGCCTTTTCGGCTAAGGAGTAACTAAAGGATCCTTTTAATACGAGATTGTGACTTAAAGGGGCTGCTGGATGTCGTTGCCCACCGTCGCAGCGGACCTTACGATCATAGCTTGACAATAAGCCTGATATCGAATATTAGGATATATAAATATTTTCCCGGGATTGATTTCTTCAGATTGTCCCAATCGACACAGTGTTTTTAATAGAAACCGTTGACAAAATATATGAACAGGACTCCCAAGGCTAGCCCCTCGGAAAATAGTGCATTTTCAAAAAGACAAATTCCTCCGCCAAACCTTGAGAATCCAGGATCTTTTGGGTCCAGTTCTAGACTCTGGACTTTGGACTTCTCTCCAGCTCGTCCCAATATGGCAGGCAGCAGCCAAACCTTAACGAGATCTCTACCAATGACCGGACAAGTAGCTAGCGCAAAGAGCTTGTAAGTCTGCAGCTCCTCGGGCTCTCAAGAATCAGGCTATTGATTCGAGTTCTCATCGAGTGAATGCATCAGAAATACTCAAGCTTCCTGTCAAACTCCGGCTTATGGTCGGACGACGTATGCAGCGAACGAGGGCCAGTACTGAGGGGCCCGGGCGGTGCGGGCTATGTGGCACCCAACTCGATATATAGTGGTAGAGAATGAGAATGGGAATGAGGAATGACAATTGCGTCTAACTGCGTACTTTCAAGGACAGTACGAGATCGCTATCCGGACGTAAAAGGATAATAGTGACAAGAGAAAAGCGTTTTACGTATAGCAATAGCCAGAGAAGAGCGCCAAGCTGCAACACCAACACCTTTCCCCGATCCGGCAACCACCAAGCGGTGAAGCACAGCAAAATCTCCCCAGCTCTCACAATTTCACAACCGCATCCCACCACAGCCAACAAGCTCTCCAATTCCTTCCACACGCCCATCCACTGCCCCAAAATGCCGAAAGAGAAATCAGTCAATCCGGCGCAAGCACAGCGCAAAGCCGAGAAAGCCAAGGCCATTAAGAAAGGTACCCCAATCACACTCACCCCCTTCGTCCCTGCTCACGACCACACCCCCCAACCCCTCCACATATATATACATATATACACATATACATACATACACTACTCTAGAGACTGGCTCGCAGAAAGCTGATCAGGTGTCCGTGATATGTACAGGGAAAGCAGAGCAACAGTCCCGACGCAACGAGAAGCTCGCCAAGCGCAACCCCTACCACCTGGAAAAGGAGCTCGCGGATCTCAAATCCCTCGAGAAGGCCGGCACGCTCACCGCGCACGAGAAGACGCTCTTGGAAGCCACCGAGCGGGATCTCAAGGCGGTCAAGAAGGCCCGAGAGGCGCTGGGAGACGCGGCGCCGAAGTTCGGGCCGGGGGGGAGACAGGATAGAGGGGATCGGGATAGGGAGAGGGATGGAGGGGAGAGGGGTGGGAGGGGAGGCGCGAGGGGCGGGAGAGGTGGTGGCGTGCTGGGAAAGAGGAGGAGAGATGATGGGGATAGTAGCGAGGAGAGTGACGTCCCTGAGGATGTAAAGAGGATCCCGATGCCGCGCGATACGCCGCCGCCGATTCCGAAGGAGATTCTGGATCGCTGGTATCAGAAGCGGCGGGAGAGGATTGCAGAGCGGTATCCGGATTCCACTGCCGCTGCTGGTGCTGGCTCGGCGAAGGTGGGCACGAGCGCGAATAACGTGCCGCTAGGTGCTAATGAGCGGAGGGTTGGTGGAGGGGGGAGTGGAGGACAGGAAATGCCGAAGAGGGTTTTCGAGGAGGCGAAGACGACGTATGAGGCGAAGCCAGTGATTAGGGATTTGAGAAAGGAGGCTACGAGCTTTGTGCCGGCGGCTGTGAGGATGAAGCTCGATAAGGTCAGGGGTGTGGGAGGCCTGGTTGAGCCGGAGGAGGCGGATGTGCTTGAGCGGGCAGGCTATTTGGGAAAGAAGGCCGCGGGTGAGGAGAGGGGAGGAGAGGAAGGGTCTGCTGCGCCGCAAGGGTCGAGAGCTGTACGGATGGAGGAGGTTGATGATGAGGATGGTTAGAGCCACGGTAGCTTTACTGTACTGCCAGAAGAGAGAGAGAGAGAGAGAGAATCAACACGATACCCACAATCAAATACCAACCTACACCCCCATCTCCACATGTCACCAAGTGATCTTTCATCATCCACGACTCGGGATTCTCCCCCCCCAAGATCAAATCTAGCTCGCCCGCGCCAGCTACGCAACTCAGTACCCAACCGTAACCTCGTAAACCAGCCAGCCCACCTCCACACCACCACACCGCGACGCACGCAAACCAAGCAGCTCCAGCCCAAACGGAAGGAAGATACACAGACCAAGAAACCTCTCTCCCTCCCCCCTCTTTCCGTCTCGGCTAATCCATATCCATATCCATATCACCAAGAAACTACCCATCCCCCAGATCCAGATCCCCACTAGCTCAGCTGCCAGAGTCGCATCCGCGGGGATAGCTAGCTGGCTTTCAGAGCTTTTCTCTGCGACTCACTTACTCTACTACCAGCTAGCTTCACTTCACTTCACTTCACTTCACTTCACTTTTCGTCCGGAAGCCGGGAGGGAGGTGGGGAAGGGGAAGGGGAAGGAGGAAGTGGGGAATTGGGGAAGGGGAGAGAAGGAAATCAAGCACCGAAAAGAAGAACGGCGGGGAAAGGGCAATGGGTAAAAGGGCAAATAAAGGGTGAATAAAGGGTGAAAGATAGAGAAAGGAATAATGGAGTCGGGTTTCGAAAGCGGAGGGAAGGGGAAACGATGGGTGGGAGATGGAAAGATGGAAAGATGGAAAGATGGAAAGATGGAAAGATGGAAAGATGGAAAGAT